GCACCCCTCTGGGGGTGCGCGCCCGCAGGCATTGGCCTGTCAGAAGAGGAAGACGCATGCCAACAAGGAGGGAGCCCCTTTTCTGGGTGCTTGCACACAGGCATCAGTTTGTCAGAAGAGGAAGACGCATGCCAATGAGGGAGTGAGCCTCTTTATTTCACGGCTGCGGCTGGAGGCTCTGGTTGACCATCTGACTTCCAGGAGACCGAGGACTGCGGAGAGGCAGTCTGGGGACAGGGCACCCCTCTGGGGGTGCTCCCCCGCAGGCATTGGCCTGTCAGAAGAGGAAGACGCATGCCAACAAGGAGGGAGCCCCTTTTCTGGGTGCTTGCACACAGGCATCAGTTTGTCAGAAGAGGAAGACGCATGCCAATGAGGGAGTGAGCCTCTTTTCTGGGTGCTTGGACACAGGCATCGGCCTGTCAGAAGAGGAAGATGCATGCTAAAGAGGGAGCACCCTTTTCTGGGTGCGTGGACAGGCGTTCAGCCTGTCAGAGCAGGAGGATGCATGCTGATGTGGGATGATGAAACTGTGGCAGAGCCTCACAGTTCAGCAGAGAAACTGAATTCCTGCTACAAAGCTGATTAATGAAGAAATCATGAATTTTAACAAAAAGCCAAAATCCACCTGGCCTGGTGGGGAAAGGATGTCTGGCAAAGAAGACAGTTTTAGACATTTTCATGTCTTTATGAAGATTTGGACCAAAAGGAGACTGTTGATAGACATTTGAAAAACATTGTTTATTAGAATTTGTCCTATTTCTCTCTTTGAGAGTTTTGAGGATTGAACCGGATGAGCTCTGATATTTTTGTTTGTAAATTCTTTTCCCTTGTGAAAGCTTGAATCATGGAAAAAAGGAAAAAAGAGGAACAAGTGATTGCCCCAATCGGCTACCGCCCGCCCAGAGCCAGCTGAGGATCGGTGACGTGAGATGAAGAGCTTAGCTCAACCATAATGATTTTAATCAGTATGATCATTTTAAATTTAGGTTTAGAACTAGTAGTTGTTGATTTATTTAGATTGAAAGCCGATCATTGATGATTTTAAGGTTTATATTTTATTGCTTGTTGCTTTGCTGTAGCTCTGTTAAGCTTCTATATAAAATTCCTGAAAAGGTTTAATACTCTCTGTGGTTATTGAGTCGAGTTTATGATATTGGCATTCCTATGATTTTAGTGACTTTGCACTTTTCAGTGGTAATGGGGAAGACACACATTTTTCAGTGTTTGGTTACCCAATTCCTAGTGAGGGTGATTACCTAAGTCTTAGTGAGTGTGTGAGGTTGCATAACAGTTCACGGTGTTGACAAAAGGCCCAGATTGAACTGTTAAAATGAATTTTAGACCGATACATCAGAAAAGGGTTTATCTTGAGTGTTTGATTAACAACCAACAGTATTAACAGTATGCCAACCTTCTCAACAGTGTCTCAGAAAGTTAAAACAGGTAGTGGCAACCCAGCGGTGTTAACAAGCTGCCTGGCTGCAGATACCTCATGGTGACAACACAAGCAGCACTTTTCTGATTGGGCTTGTTTGTTGCTCGGGTTTTATGCCATACAAAACCAGCCAGCTGTCTGAAGGGAGGCGGTGTTTAGAAACAACCAACAGTATTAACAGTATGCCAACCTTCTCAACAGTGTCTCAGAAAGTTAAAACAGGTAGTGGCAACCCAGCGGTGTTAACAAGCTGCCTGGCTGCAGATACCTCATGGTGACAACACAAGCAGCACTTTTCTGATTGGGCTTGTTTGTTGCTCGGGTTTTATGCCATACAAAACCAGCCAGCTGTCTGAAGGGAGGCGGTGTTTAGAAAGTTATATCAAAAAAGGTGTTTATGTAAAATATCCAACTGTTTACTTGTTACACAATATACACTATTCTTTAAATTTCATATCCTTAATAACATTTTATGTCAACTAAATACTGTGCAAAATAGATATGGTCTTAAGTGTCCAGTGAGACAGCTTTCATTGGTTATTTCAGACAAAATTTAACACTTCCTCAAAGAGCCAGAGTATCCTGGCTTGGGGTGGCTGTGGCTCATGAGATGGTGGCTGTGGCTCATGAGATAGGGCAGTCGTCTCCTGACCAGCAAGTTGGTGGTTCGACTCCCGGTCTCCCTGCATGCCTAAGTGTCCCTGAGCAAGACACTGAATCCCGAATTGCTCCCGATGGCTTGACTAGTGCCGGTGCATGGCAGCTTGTCATCATCGGTGTGTGAATGTTGTGTGTGAATGGGTGAATGGTGTATAATCTTCTGTAAAGCGCTTTGGCCAGTGCAACACACTGTGAGAAAGCGCTATATAAAATACAGTCCATTAAAAATACAGTGCATTATAAATGTTTCTCAGTACGGTAACATCTGAGGGTTAAGGGGGTAGCTGCCACAATAACTGCAGGTTGCCATACAACCTCAAGCAGTGTTTGGAGCTTTAATATGTTTCAAATATGCCACCTTAGTGTGCTTTATTCCTGTGTCCAGGGGTTAGCATATCGTGGCCTTCAAACAGGAGGGCAGTGTGGATCAAATGCACATTATTCTGAGAGATTCAGGGAGGAAAGGAGACTCAAATCAAACGCAGCTACACTCCTGGCCCTCGAGGACTGGGATTGGCCTTCCCTGGTGTTAAACAAACGCACCCTGGCTGAATTGTAGATCCTGAAAATGCGACTGATGACGTCCTCCTCCAGATCTGCAGAGACAAACTCCACCTGCAGGGAGCCAAGGTGATGGAGGCCGTTCTCTGGCCAGTACTGAGGACACAGCTGAGACACAGACAGATGGACATGGGGAGGTTATTGATCAATTATCAGTCATCTACAGATGTTCCTGAAGCTGAGTCCCACATGTCGCATGTAAAACTGTGCACAGGTGTGTTTACCTGTGCAGGATCAACGTCGTTCAGCATCACAATGGACGTGCAGTGGTAGTCGAGGACCAGACGCCAGAAGTCCTTCACCGTGTTGGGCAAAGGATGCTGGGTAACAATGAACGCCGATGGCTGCTTGTAGCTCTGCACAGAAGAAATTACATCACACAGCTGCGTAAATAACAAAATGCTGACATTTGAAGGGACAGTGTATGTGTAGCAGAGAAATCTGGGGCCTGTACATCTGCGGCCTCGGGCCGTTTTACCTTTCAGTACATCCATGGTCATGACTACAACAGCACTCGGAATGTTATGTGACAATGACACTTAAATGTAAACGTAAACCCCTACGTTTCTACCACTGCAACTGTTCTACGGTGGAGATGAAGTGAGATGACTGAAAACTCCTGAGCCGCCACTAAGTGTGTGTGCGTTTCGTACGTCCATGAGCGCGGCGTTGATGTAGTTGGAGCTCTCTCCATCAATGGTGATAAGGAAAGGCAGGCAGCGGTCCGGAGGCAGCACATCCATGCAGCGGTTCTTCTCGTGGTTCCTGGGCAACAGGGCGATGCTGCAGTCCTCCACCCGCAGTGTGGGTGTCACCATGTTCAGGGTCTGCGCACGGATCAATACCCATCCCAATTAGTTTCAATACTAAAGAAATCCCCTCAAACAGCTTTATAATAAGATGATTTTTTATAATGCTAATAAATCATTACCTGATCCTCAACTAATCAATTATTAGACAATAACTTTGACTCTCCACATTTACAACATGGTGCTTGTTGCTCCTTATTTATAGATTAACATTTAACAGGCTTTTATTTAGTGACTGGTTATTAATTCTAACTGCAGTCATATCAGCTTATTGCCAGTTACCACAGCAAACGTTGTGGTCATCTGCATTTTATCATTATCATTACTGGCTCAATAACAAGTAAAAAGGCTTAATTTTAGTCATAGAAAGATTTTAAACCTTTCTGTTAGCCATTTACATAGAGCTGCGGAAACATATTTAATCAGTGAGGTATTAACTCTGTGTTTAATCTTCTCAATGAAAAGCCTGTAAACAGTCCTAGCAACATTTACTAGTTTATTACTTGTGTTAACTTATGATTTAAAACTAGTGACTTGTTACTGTTAACATATTAATATTCACAACAGCAAATGTGCAGTTTGTTACCTTTTCTAAACAAGGTACGAACATTTCAAGATGGAAGGACTCCTTATCCTTGGCTTAGATTAAAAATGGCGCAGTAACACAACTTACCCTGAACTCCTCTTTGATCTGACTGGAGTTGGTCTGAGGATCCAGTCGGTTCATCTCATAATAAACTGACCGCAGCTGATTAGCTGGAATCGCTGTGTCACCACAGAGACATGCCTCCAAGATGGCATCATGGATGAAGACATACTGCTCCTTGTGGACAGAGAGAGAGGAGGGAGACGTCGTTATAAACGTCCTCATCACCTCTTGTCAGTCAAAGTGCTGCTGAAATGTCACTTCATAAACGATTTATGTCAACACACAGCTGCTGCAGAATGACGGATGGACAGAGTAACGCAGAGGAGTGACATCAGAAGTTTGACAGAAGGTCATCGCTTTGTCACATCCTGTCAGTTACAGTCTTAGACAGAGCTGTAGCAGATACCTGCAGTCTGAGACTCTGAGGTGCACATGTTGGTTTGAGTGTGGAAGCCAACGTGCACAAGGAATAGAAAATGTAATGAACACGTACCTCAAGTGGTTCTGTCTGTACAGCTCCTAACTGTGACTCACTACGTCATCATGGTACTGACTCGGTGTCTTGTAACTGTAAACTACAGTGAACCTCCAGGCCAGGACACGCGCGCTTGTCCACTGATCCATCAAATACCTCGTGTACTAAGACTGCAAGGGATTCTACACAAAGGAGCACACAGTCAAGTCCATAGATCTGAAACTAATCTACAAAGAGTTTCAGAACAGCTCATATTGTTTCATGGGTAAAGTGCTCCAGATCTCTCTTTACCATAATGGGATGTGAGGTGGGACAGTCTCAGCCCATCTGAGCAAAATACGCTTACTAGCAATTAACAGGAGCTTATCGAGAAATTTATAGTGTGTTAAGGGAAGAAGCCACTCTCTGGAAGGGCCAGTGGGGAAAAACCAGGGTCTCTCTTGATTTGGATTTTAAATATTCCAACGAGTTCACTGGAAACATGTCCACAGTCTGGATATAAACGTGCATTCCCAGAAGCAGTGATGATATTTCCCCCTATTAGACTGACATTTAACACATGAAGGGGAAAATGCATGGTTTCTTTTATGTGAAATAAGAGGACTGGCCACTTTATTAGGTACACCCGCACAACTGCACTTCCACCTTAATATTTGTGTTTATGAAGCTCAACATGTTTCAGTTTTTGGTAAAATTGTCATAAATGTGCAAGTTCAATTACATATTTATTACTGAGGTCATAGGTAAAGGTGGTGTTATGCTGGACTACATTATATTCAGAGGAGTTCCTAATATTCTGACCCTCATGTATGTAGCCAGGGAGGACAAAAACAGAGACACTTCTGATTATAATGTAGTCCGGTACAACACCACCTTTAACCACAACCTCAGTAATGAACATATGATTGAATATACACATTTTTGACAAGTGGAAGTGTTGTAGTGAAGTGCAGACAGTTGCACAGGTGTACCTCAAAGTGGCTGGTCAGTGTTTATGACCTGTGTAAAATGTGATCCTGCATCTTCCCCAGTCTGTTACATGTAAAGGTAGATTTAATCAAGTCTATGGCTTCTTGCCAGTAAGCTTCAGTATATTGCTGACACATCTGTTTTCTACATACAGGGAATACTGGGCAGCTCATACACTGAATAACAAAGTGAATAAAACGATGATATACTGTAAAATGCTGTGTGTTTGTGCTCAGCCATGAACCGTTCTGCATCACTATGTCAGTTCATCAGATCATCTGAGGACATAGGAAAGGCCTCACTTCCAGAGAAACACTCCTTAGGAACATCAAATCTTTCCCTTATTCGCAGAAAGGCTGTAAAAGCTGTGTTTTTAAATGAATCGATAGGCAGAAGAATCGGGAAGAACACAGAGGAGCCTGAGGCTACAGGGATGTCTGGAGGTCGGGTGACAGGAGACTGGTACTACCGTAAATAACCAGACTATGTCTGATCTATCATTAGCTGTCATTTTTTATATTTCACATTTGGACCGATTTTATGATTTTTCTCTTTGTTCTGTGTAATTTTCCTTTACATTGAAAAATGCAGAGGTGTCATAATTTTTACGCAGCAGCTCGTTGTAACTCTGTGATCCAGTCTTGGACCTCGCACAGCTGCGTATTTTCACCCAACGTATGTTTACCTCAGTCTGGACCATGTTAACCCTTCGTGCTCTCAGCTCTCGGACACAGTTGTAGATGTCGACCACGCCCTCTCTCTCCGCCATGTCCAGCATGATGTCGATCACTATGAAACAACCAGTTCGCCCTGCCCCTGCACTGAACCACACACACACGCCAACATGTTATATACAAGAAACAAACACCTGATGTTACTGTAGCTTTCATAGTAGTAACTCTCCTTAAAATCCATGCATGTATCTATTTAGTATAAACGTGATCCTAACCCACGTGCATGTACCTGCAGTGGACCACAGTGGGGCCGGCGGTGGGCGGCGTCTTGGCCTTCACACAGCGGATGAAGCCCAGCAGGCCGGTGGCATGAAGCGGCACGCCATGGTCGGGCCACCCGGTGAAGTGGAACTGACGGATCTCCCTGATCTCTGCCACGCCCCTCTGGCAAACACAGACACACCATGTGGTCAGTGAAACCAGACACTTCCTGCTGGTCTTTCACATTAAAAGCCTAACACTAGCTCAAAGGGTGTCCCTTTATCAGAACACTTAATGTGAAATACCAACTTATGACCTCAGTTTTAGTTAACGTCTCCCTGTTCAAGTGCTGGGTTAGATTATGTCTCACTGTTACCTCACTGATCTCCCCGCACTTTGTGCTTTAGAAATTTAGAAGCCAGGATTAAAGATCACCCTGTGACAGACTGGCGACCTGTCCAGGGTGGACCCCACCTCTCGCCCAGTGTCGGCTGGGATTGGCTCCAGCCCCCTGTGACCCTGTTCAGGAAAAAGCGGTGTAGATAATGGATAGATGGATTAAAGGTCATTTGATAGTTGCAAACGTATGTGAGCCTTTGTACTGTGTGAGCAGACACTGGATTTAGCCAGTTTTCTTTCTTAGCACCTATTGCTAATAATCCTGACTTGGAACGCACCTGTACAGATGCGTAGTTAACGGAGGATGTCTCAACAACATACAAAACATATGTGGGTGATGCACTGGAGCTGTCCAGCAGCTGCAGGGTGAGTTCCACATTCCTCTAATGCTCTTTTACAGCTACTTACAAACTGGCTGTTGTATGACATCCATCCCATATTATAAAACGGTAGCAATCTTATAATGAAAGCAGCAACACTTGATAAAAAAATGACTTCTGTATACGACCAGTGGCTTATGAACGATAAGGTTGTTACCAACAGAAAACAGCTGGGAGCCAGGTGTTGGTGCATTTCCAAGAACAATAAAAAAGTACAACATTTGCCTCGAAGATGCAGTGAAGAATGAAGTAATAGAAAATGAGTGCAGTAAATGTTGTAATGACTGTGTATATTTATTTAGCATTTTGTTACTGTGGTCTATTTCCGTTTGACGTTCAAGTTGTTTGTGTGTGTGAGGTTTTGAGTTGTGCGTTGTACCTTCTCCACAGCGAAGGTCCGGATCACGTACTCGGACAGCAGCTGCGTCTCGATCAGAGTCACCTTCATGTCGCCGTAGATCTCTGTGTCGTCAGGCCAGTACTTACAGCATTTCACCTGCACACACACACACACACACACACACACGCACATGCGCACACGCACACAGTCAGGACTCTTGTTTATTCACTGATATAAAAGTCAGGCTGGAACAAATGGGCTCATTAATTAAACAGAAACATAAACAGAACAAAAGCAGCTGATATTAAAATCTCATTAGAGGCCCCGCCCCCTCCCCTCTCTTATCAACAGCTAATTACTGCTGAGCTAATCGCACTGTCACCACAGCAACCACCGAGGTTAATGACAAGAGGGGGTTCTGAGAAGAAATCAGGCTGAAATGATTGTGTGTGTGTATAAGAAAGAGAAAGAGGGAGGGAGATAATCAGCCTGATCTATCTCAGAATCCCTCTCTGTGGCGCTCCTGGAGAGGGGCACAGATCCCTGGTGCCTTCTGGGTAATGAGAGCTGGGACAGGGAGCATGCCGCCAGGTGTGTGTGTCAGGTTAAATCCTTCCATTTCAGGAGCAGTCGGGTTTTATCCGTCATCTGAAAGTGTCACATGAGAAACTCTCAGCGCATCAGTCTGTCCTGATTACAGGACATTTCATCCACATCTGTAGGTGGTTACCAGCTGAAAGTTTGTGACTGGAACTGAAGCGATTACGGTCAATTTTCAGCCTCTGAAAAGAGCAGAGCTGCAGCTCGGCTTTGTGGCAAATATGCTTTTTAATCTGAATATTTGAAGTGTTTCAACAAGAAAACAAGACCGTTTCACCGTTTTTTTCTTTAGATTAAACTATGAAATGAAAAACTAATCAACAGATAAATGGATTATGAAAATATCATAAAAAAATAAAAACAATTATTAGGTGCAGCTCTGTGTGCGCTGTTGATACTGTTACGTGTATGTGTGTCTGGCAGTTGTGTTTATGTATAAACAAAGTTTTGATGGCATGCATAAGTTTGAAATTCACTTTTCTAGACTTTCAAAGACATACAGTCTTATGCAAAAGTTTAGGCACCCCTTGATAAATAACAGATTTTGGTGATTTTTTATTTGAACAGATGTTAACACAGTTTCTCTTGGAAATGGAAAAAATGCACAATATTTTCAGCAAACAGTGATGCATAGTTACTTCTTATGCCATAAATTGAACAAAAATAAAAAATAAAAACATTATTATGGCATGGTGCAAAAGTTTGGGCACCCTAAGAGTTCCAGAGTCTCAAAGTCTCTCACAAGGTATCAGACCTTAATCAGCTCGTTAGATCTGATGCACAGCAACAGCTGTCATTGGTAAATGCCAATTTCAAAGCTGTACAAATACTTTGACTCTTCAAACCTTGTGCACACACTTGTGGACACCCAGCAACCATGGGTTCCTCTAAGCAGCTGTGTAAGACCCTGAAAATGAAAGTTATTGACGCCCACAATGCAGGAGAAGGCTACAAGAAGATAGCAAAGCGTTGTCAGCTTGCAGTTTCCACAGTAAGAAATGTAAATAAGAGATGGCAGATCAGGGGAACTGTGGAGGTCAAGATGAGATCTGGAAGACCAAGAAAACTCTCGGACAGAACTGCTCGTATGCTGGTCAGAAAGACAAATCAAAACCCCCATTTGACTGCAAAAAACCTGCAGGAAGATTTAGCAGACTCAGGAGTGGTGGTGCACCGTTCCACTGTGCAGCGATGCTTGCACAGACAAGGCCTTCATGGAAGAGTCAGCAGAAGAAAACCTTATCTGCGTCCCCATCATAAAATCCAACGTCTGAAGTATGCAACAGGACATCTACAGAAGCCCGATGCGTTTTGGAAACAAGTGCTGTGGACTGATGAAGTTAAAATAGAACTCTTTGGACACAATCAGCAAAGGCATGTTTGGAGAAAAAAAGGAGCAGCATTTCATGAAAAGAACACCTTGCCAACTATTAAGCATGGGGGTGGATCTATCATGCTCTGGGGTTGTGTTGCAGCCAGTGGCACAGGAAACATTGCACGGGTGGAGGGAAGAATGGATTCCACTAAATACCAGCAAATTCTGGAAGCAAACATCACACCATCTGTAAAAAAGCTGAAGCTGAAAAGAGGATGGCTTCTACAACAGGACAATGATCCTAAACATACCTCGTTGTATTCTCAGTTCAGTCTGAGTCACAGTTTAGGTACAATACAGTGACCAGACACTTTATTAGGTACAGCTGTATAGTTGTATGCACTCTAATGTGACAGTTCCACCTTAAATTCAATCATATGTTTATTACTGAGGTCATAGCTAAAGGTGGTGTTGTAATATATTCAGAGGTGTCTGTATTTTGTCCTCCCCAGCTACATACTTGAGAGGGTCAGAATATTAGGAACACCTCTGAATATAATATAGCTCAGTACAACATGACCTTTAACTATGACCTCAGTAATAAACAAATGATTGAATTTAAGGTGGAAGTGTTGCATTGAAGTGCATACAACCATACAGCTGTACCTAATAAAGTGGCCGGTGAGTGTACATAGATGTAAACAGTAGTTCTAGATTTGTGCTTGTCATTAAATTGCAGTTACATATGTATGAAACTTTGTGCTGTTACAAACGACACCGTTGCCTTGCGGTTACATATTCATGTTAACCTGTGATATACTCTGCATTAAATATTCGCCATCACAGTCATACCCTTGTGTAAAATCTGAGATATGATTTAACGCACACTTGTGCTATATGTTGTCTTTGTTATGACCTGAAGCTGCAGAGCTGCACACACCTGTGAATCAGGAGATTTTATTGAGAGCCAGAAAACGTCTCAACAACAGACAAGGATAAATACAAAGCAGAGATGTGAGAGATGCACCCTGGGAAATGAAGTCCCACACTTCATCAGAGAGGGGAAGCAACCAGATGGCTGCAACAATGAGTCTGTGTGTGCAGACTCACCCGCCCCACCTCCACCAGGTTGGTTACCATGACGATAGCGGCGGTGTTCTCCTGCCAAACCATGAGCCAGAAATCGTACATGGTCTCCTGCATAGGACCTGGAGCGCGCACACACACACACACACACACACACACACACACACACACACACACACAGAGCAAAGCTGGTGTTACACAGCGGAGCAGCAGGTGACACCAGAGCCACACATGAATTATAACAAGCCCTCTAATTACTGCAAACACACACACAGAAAAACGTTTTTAATCACTGTTGACAGTCTGTGTTTTGATGAGCTAATTAGTTCATGCTAATCCATTCCTGTCCGCAGGTGTTTTCCATACTCTGCATTCATGCTCACAGGCAGACATGAGCAGGCTCCTACCTGCAGAGTGAACGCTGGCGACACCTGGCAGGAACTGCAGCTGGGGTTTTTTTTAGCTCCCAGAGTTCTGCTACAAATCCTGCAAACTTCTCTCTATAACTACAAAGTCTTAGCAACAAGGTTGACATTCTTGTCAAAAAAAGTTAAAATACTCAGGGATTTCACCGATTTGTCGGATCAGGATTTTTTCTCAGCCAGGAGTTTAGTTTCTTTGTTCTCATTTTGTCATCGCCCAGTACATATGGGTGTAGTACAGTACAGAGAGCGTGTTGCAACTACAGCTCCCATTATGCTTAGGGGATGTGAGCATGAAGGATAACGTTGCAATGAACTCAGAAGGTTAGCTGTGTACTACTACCTGGGCCCCTTAGAGCCTGTGCTTGTAGCAGGATGAGCAGTGAGCAACAGCTGTGTGCATGCGGACGTACATGCAACTGTCACTGGATCTTTGTGAGACTGAAGGAAACCTAAGGGCACCGTACACAGGTGGTGTGTTATGCACTTTGTCAGCCCAGTCATTGTAGGCTGACAAAGTGCATCAACACTTCAGGATATGCTATTGTCCTGTTTTCCTGGTGTCGCCACGAATCAGAAGCAGCCATCTCTTTAGTCCCACACTGAATTCGTGCCTCTCCAGTCTGTGCGACAGGGGTCGTGATGTGTGTCGCATGATGAGCCACGACACGCCACCACCTGTGTCATGCTTATAGACAGGTTGTATTCTGGGACACATCTGTGATTTCAGGCTGCAGAGATGAGCCTGTCAGAAGTGCAACCGGAGAAGCTACATAATCAAAGTAGGGAACAGTGTCAGTGCTGTTCTGCTCTTACCTTGGGTAGCAATGTAGTGACTGGGTCTGTGGTAGCCCTGAAAGGCAAAATGTGATGGTTAGAACTCTGAGACCAGCAACAGTCTGTCAGCAACAAATCACAGGCCCGAGGGAAGATGAATTTAATGAGAAAAGGGACTCAAAAGGATTCATGTCTGATCAGTGACACTGAAAATGCTCTAAAACTGCAGCCCTACTTCTAACTAGACCCCAGCCTGAACCGGCTTCAGACCTTGAACCTTAAAACCTTCAAAGAGACTTTTGAAGTAGTGAGCACATTAGATGGATTACTGAAATGGTGTCCTGGACTTGGGCCCAGATACCGAAGGCTGACCCTCAGACCTCTGTTTGAAGTGACAACATTTCTTACTGCAAAGTCAATCAAACTGCAGACATACACAAAGCGACCAACAAAGTCACAAAATCACCACAAACATTCCGTGTCTCTTTTGGCCAGGGGGTCCTAGGGTGGGGGGGCGGTGTCTCAACACCTGTGTGAAGATGTTGTGAAGGCAGTCCTCACAGGGACAGCACTGCTGCAGAGTTTGTTTACAGAGTCGACACCCGTCACAAGTCACCATGGAAACAGTTGGCCGGGACGTCTCCCATCGACCTTTAAAGCAGCTAAAGAAAGTCCACAGTGTGTGTGTGTGTGTGTTACTCACGTCGACGTAGTTGGCGTTGATGTAGTCTGAGCCGCTGTCTCCGTCCTGAGGCTGCAGTCGCACACGAGAGTGGTCGTCTGACAGACACACACACACACACACACACACACACAGTGTTAACTGGTCTACTTGTTGCCGTGGTGATGCTGAACATAATCACTCTAATTAGCCTGCGCTGAATAAACAATCAAATAATGAATTAACAACCACTTAATTACATTCATTCACTAAACCATATAAACAAACTGGGGGCGGGACTTCAACCTTCACAGGATATTTAAATCCCAGTTCCTGAAAACAAGATAAAAATACAATAAGGCTTCATCTGTCATGACAAGACAAATATTAAAAGCTGTTCACTGAACTTCATACATGACTGTGAACATTCACCAGTCACTGTTTGGCATGTTAATCGATACAACAGCTGAAACATCAGAGCTCCTGACACTGTGGATGGAAAACAGAAAATGACTCATTCAGTCTCATTCTGGTTCGTATCTCAGATAAAGATGCTTGACTGTTTGGGGAAAGGAGTTAAAATGGAAACAGGCTAATGATACATGGGGGGGGGGAACAACTGTATTTAAATACTGTATTTAAAACTTCATCTCATATCAGTATACGCAGCATTCATGGTACAAATACCCTCATTTTACACAGAGACTTCAAATGTGAACTCTATCAAACACATCTTCTTCATGACCAGAGCTGTTCCACCAACAGTAACAGTGTCGTTCATCCAGACTGAAGCTGAGAAGACACTGAAAGTTTTGTATCGACTGATTGTTGATATGATTGTTTTCAGCTTCTACATCAACTCAAATCTACGGAAGTGTGTGTGTATGTGAACATGAAGTCCCTGCAGGCCACTGTAGCCCTCTATCACACCTCATTAGCATAATTACAGCATTGCTGTCAGCCTGCAGCTGTCAGTGCTAACTTTCTGGGACTTCACACATTAGTTTCAGCAACTACGATGTGCTTGTGAGAGACCTGGAGCTGTTGATCTTCCTGATGGGGACAAAGACAAAGAACAACCAGCTGTGGACTTATTGCCCGACATGTTTATAAGGATAATCACCTTTATTTGGCCAAGTATGTTACACACAAGGAATTTGTTTCTGGTATAGAACCAAGGCAGCCATCTGCGGCACCAACTCACACAGATGGCTCTAACCATCGGGGACAACTTGGGGGTTCAGTGTCTTGCCCAAGGACACTTCGACATGTGGACTGCAGGCACTGTGATTCGAACCTCCAACCCTCCGGTTGGGAGACAACTGCTCTACCCACTAAACCACATCTGCCTTAAACTAAGGAGAAGGAACCAGGTTATAACCGAGGCCAGGAGCCTACAGTCCTGGAGGCTGTTCTTCCTATGTGAATAATTCAGCTAGTTTCAAATTTCAGTATTTCTGCAGCTGTTTCATAGCAACATGAGCAACTATAGCTGTAACTGGCACAGACATCTAATAACCTGAGTCCAAACCAACAAATCTTTAGTCAGTTCCCATGTTAGCTAACAAGTCCCAGGTAAAGGCCCAAGTCCTAAACAACACATTTCAGGTCAGGTCCCACACAAAGCTGGATTTTGCACTTCTTCTATCTGCAGCTGTTGTCATAGCAACACAAGCCATGAATGCTGATTTCAAGTATGATGGGAAATATGTTGACAACCTTTTTAAAACAAGACTAAAACTAAATTACAAGTAGCCTTTGAAAATGAGAACTGTGACTTAAGCCAGCAGGGTCAACCCTCAGCAAAACCCCAAGTCCAAATTTAAGATCCAAGTCGAGACCAACAGGTCCCAGTACAAGACAAGTAAGTCCTGAGTCACAGTTCTGGGCCCTACAAATTAAGACCTAAATGGCGTGAGTCAAACTCTCATTGAGGAGATGTTACAAGTCTAGACTCGCATGTTCTGGCTTACGATATGTTAACACGTAGCCTTATCTGGGTCAAACATGGCTGATTCTAGGCTGCAGCCACCTCAGAGGACTTTTCTGTCAGCGTACAGGATTATGCTGAGTATGTGACCGGATACATTAGTACCTGTATTGACAACATTGTGCCCACCATATAAGTCAGGAGGTTTCCCAACCAGATGCCCTGGATAAACAGTCAGGTACGCCACATGTTGCGTGCTCACTCTCATGCATTCAGATCAGGTGATGAGACAGAGTACAAAGCTGCAAAGTACAGACTGAGGAAAGCCATCACAGTGGCCAAGAGGCAGTACAGAGAGAAGCTGAATGGCTTCTATTCTACTGCTGACTCCGGACGGATGTGGCAAGGCCTGCAGCACATTGTAGACTACAGGACTACCACCAGCATCAACAGCCTGCCGGATGACCTCAACACCTTCTACACCTGCTTTGAGACCTCCAGCCACAGCACAGAC